GTTCACTTTGATAACCAAGTGGTGGTGGTACATTATCATAAAATGAAAGACGTGTCCAATCATAAACATGAAAGTGTCGACGAGCTAAAAGTGTTGCTTGATGTGCAGGTGATTTAGTTGAATGTCTAGATAATGCTGTTGATGATGATGATGTTGATGGTGATGATGATGGTAGTAATGGTAGTGGTGGTGGTGGTGATGTACAAATAAGATTATCATCGGACGGAATAATTATAGGAAAATGTTGATTATTTGATAATGTATTCGTTGTTGGTAGTAGTTGTTCATCACAGATCGGTGATAGACGATGAATCGATTTATCGAGAGTAATGACCTTTAAATAGATAAGTAGATTATTTATGAATTAGCATTTTTGTTTTTGAAGTTATGAAATGAAAGAAAAATATTACTATTGAACAAAAAATATTTATTAGCATTGAGAACATGAAATTTCATTTCACGTATGATTTATTTTTATTTTTTTTCATATTGTTTTATATTAAACTTTGATATGATGAAAAGAAAAAAAAACTTCAATAGAATTCTTACCGTTCGTTCAGTATCGTTCGACTCAGTTAAAGATTCATCAACAGATAATGAACCACTATTTGATGTTGTTGTTGTTGATGACGTAGGTAATCTATATCGTCGACGATGAATGTCAACTGTTTTATTACTATTGTTGTTGTTGTTGTTATTATTATTATTATTATTATTGTTATTATTGTTTACAGTAATTCTCAATTTATTTTCATGATGTCGATGTTGTGCATGAGTTTTATTTTCTGGACTACTACATTCAGCTTCTTTTGATGAGTAACCTGATGATTCATGATATTGATGATGAGTTTTTAATAACGATGATGATGATGATGAAATAGGCTCGTCTATTTTTAATTCCATCATATCATCATTTAAAGTGGTCATCTGAAATGAAAAATAGTTATCATATAAATTGATTTTTCCTTCTGTTTCTGTTTCTTTTTCTTTTTCACGACATTTCTTTTTCATCATTCATTCATAACAAAATACATACAGAACAGTATTTTTCTATGATGATCGTCGATGCAAAATTAGTTCAACAATCTTCTTCGTCTTCCCTCTTATGTTGGGTATATGCTACTATGTGCAAGTACGCGGCGCGCGTTTTTTTCTTCACTCATTTGTCTTTGCGCTTGTGTGTGTGTGTGCATGCACACATACATATATGCACACACACACACACGCGCGCATACGCCCGCACACTGAAACGAGGTCATCACTACAGCATTGTGCCGAATAGCATATGACAATTGTAACAATGATGAGAAAGAATGACGCTCGATTATTTATAGATTGAAGCTGCGAACATCTTATACGAATTTTCTTCTCTCTATTTTTCCCATGTATGTTCACTAGCTCTTATATATTATCAAGAATGATGGCAATGAATAAGACACATGCGATCAAGGACAGCTCACGCACGTCTCTTCGCAACTATACGCATCAAAGCTCATCTCAGTCGACTCGTTTTTCTTTGTCGTTTTCTTTTTTTTTTTATGCAGTAGAATGACAACAACTAGTACTGCTCTTGCTACTAATCCTAAATCGAATGTTGGATGAGACGAGAAGCGTGGGTGGTATTTCTTATTTGTATGCTGTACTTTCTTTTTTGCGAAGATGATGATGATGATGATGATCGTAAGCAGTAGCAGAAGAAAAAAAAAGAGAAAGATAGTACTTACTACTAGTACGGAGTACTAATACTACAACAACTAAACTGCAATCGGCATCGGAAGATCGATAAATCATTTAGTAGTAGTGCACATCTCGGTCTTCTTTCGATTTACATATATCCAGATAGAAATAGTGAGAACAACGATATGACCGGCTAATGGTACACAACGAAAAAGAAATAATGAAGTAGCCACTTGAATCAACGTCTACAGTAGTTGTTTTCACTGGTGCTAGTCAGTATATGTCTCAACTGTTCGAACAAGAGAACACTTACCTATATTTTTTCAATATATGATTTCTATTATAATTCTTGTGTTTGTCTTTCTGTTTAACAGAAGACGAGACCAAAAGACATAAACTGTGTGTATGTGTATTTATAGACGTTAAATGAGAATCAATGGTCATAGAAAGAAACAAAGACAGATTATCGAATGAACACATGTATGGCGTAATATACAATTATTATTTATAGATACACATATACTCAAACATCAGTTCATCAATGGTCATGATGATGATGATGATGATGATGATGACGACAACAACGACGTAGCCACAAGGAAGGATTATATAAAAGACACAAACTCATATATATGTATATGTATATATATATATAAATATACGACTATATGTGTATATACATAGAAAAAAAAAGGGGGCGCACACATTTTGAGCGAATCGCCCATTGATTGTTGTGCAATCGCATCTATTCGAACAATATTCATAGTCTAATACTAAGTATATATGGAGAATCAATCACAATATGTATATATGCAGTTTACTCATCTTGTATATACCATTTATATCAGTTGTATTAGTATTTGATCTCGTTTTCGTCTTTTGGGAAGAGAATTGGCGCATAAAAAAAATTGTGTTACTACGTTTTACTTACCTACGGAAGCTACTTTCTCCATCTCCGTTTCTCTCTCTCCCTCTCTCTCTTTCTTTCACAGATAGGTGTGCTTTTGTCGTGTAGACGTGAATGTGCGCATTTTAAAATAATAACGTCGAGTCGATGTAAAAGAGAAGAAAAATATTGCGAAGATAAGCGAGCAAAAGAAGAGAAAGAGAAGAAAAGAGAAAACGTGCTTGAGGTGTAATATAACGATTACAAGCCAAGCAACAGAATTGCTGATTCATACAAAAAAGAAAAAACTGAAAGAGAGAAAAGAGAAAGAGAGTGAGAGAGAGAGGGAAAAAGAAAAAAAGTCGAGTAGATGGGAAAGAATAAGGAAGGAGAAAAAGCACACTTTTATCGTCTATTACTGAGTCAAATTACAAATAAAAATGAATATTATGCAGCAATATGAAATTCTTACCAAGGATGTCTCGATTTTTTTTTTCTCATTATTAATTTTTTTCAATTAGTTTTCAATACTAAGAAAGGTATTGATAAGTGATTTCAATCTCATAATAAAAGAACATATGAACATTTACACTATTTAGATTGATTGACTGCAAAAAAAAAATGTACACCTGTTGTTTTATTGAATGTGATAAGAAATATTTATCGAGATATGGTGAAATATATATATATATATTTTTTCTATTATCAATAAATAATCTTTGAATGAACTATAGCAACTATCGTTAGTTTTGATCGATAAAGGTTGATTATTACATTAATATAAATGAGTCGTTTGATTGACAGAGTTTTTTTTACTTTATTGAAAAGTTTAAAACATCAATTTTCTCTAAATTGTCTATAAAGTTCACTTAAAAGGTTTCGTAATACATTATAAACAGTAAATGTCCTTATGACATAATCTTTTTTTTTTTTCATTTTCATTTTGAGTATCATCTTCAATTATACACATTGTCTATAACAAATTATATTTGATTGAAAAATATTATTCAATAGTAGTAATATTGATTATTGATATTTATAATTTCAGAGTAAAAAAAACTCAATAACAATATTATATTTTTATGCTTGAATCATACATGTTTTTCTATCGATTTATTTGTCTAAGTTAGTCACGTTCTTAATAAATTAATATTTACACATTAGATCATCCGATATAGTTCATATTATACATAAACGTCATTCGTAGAACAAATTGATAAGTATATAAATAGATAGTTTTTGTGTAAAGATTAGAATAAATATATGTATAATTGTATATCAATATCATGTGGAAAATTAGAAAAAAAAAAAAGAAAAGAAATTTCTTTTTCTTTTTTAAATTTTCATAAATATTAAATTACATCACCATTTCATTACACAATTTTAAGTAAAGAGTACGTTATACAAAAAAAAAAAAGTAATTTATCAAGATCGATATTAACAAAAAGGGAAAGGTGACTTTGATAGTATTCTTATTTAATACGAATAAGATCATTTTGTTCGATTGGCATCATACACAAAAGAAACGTAACTTTTCATTTATATACCAATTTTTTTTTTCTTAAGTATATATGCCAATACAATGCAAACATAATAGAATTTTTTAAATAATAAACATCAACTTGATTTTGATTCTTTTTTTTTTTTTGTCTGGTAAAAGTTCTATTGTCAATTTTTTGTGATTTAAAGCGATTTACACATTATCTTGTTAAACACTTGTCTTTATATTTATAATGATCATAAAGAGAAAATATATTTGATTTGTAAATAATCGAATACTTCAAAACTACTATCTATTGTTATTAATTAAAAAAATCAATGTTATTTCCTTAAAATATATAATGTTATTCTTTTTTTGTTTTTCTTTTCTATAGAATATCATTCATCTATCGATAGTATCTAACACTTGATTATTTATTTGATATTACTAATAAAATACATCTGGTCAGTTGGTTCATTTAGCTGGAATAAAATTGATTATATAAACATGAGTTATGTAAAAATAAGATGATTATATATAATGATCGATTAAGGTCATTCTTGTGAATTATTTATATCTTATGATTTATATGTATCTTTTATAAGTATATTAATGGACAGAACTATTTTTGTTTTAATATATAGTTACAAACACTTTTATTGATCAATCAATCGTTCTATTGGTAAAAAGATCGATTTTAGTATTCAAAGACATCATATTACATTTAATATTGTCTAGACATTTGTTCAAAGAATATATGCTCAAGGGTTTCTTTTCTATACGTCGATAGTGTGCATAAATAAATTTTATATTTATGAAATTTACTAATCATTCTCTTTTATTACAAAAACAAGAAGAAGAAGAAGAAGAACAGTTTACAAAAAACTTATATCTGAACGGTTTTTATTTTATTTTATTGATTTATTTCATAAGAAAATATCATTGATAAACAAATGATTATAATTGACTTATATCTAACCAAGATAGATTATTTGAATCTATTTGAGGATATGCCCATAGAAGAAATGTTTTAAGCCATGTTTTATTTAAATAAGAAATATTATTTAATGATGAATAATTTGTTTTCATAATCAATTGAATATATTCAAGAAGATATTTTTCAATATCAATTATTTTTCGAAATTTTTTTATTGATATTGATTTAATAAGATATTCAAGAAGTAAATATTGTTCAAATAATGTTAAAATAGGTTGACCATTATTTAATTGTTTTTGTATAATATTATTTTTTTTTAATTCTATTTTCAAAATTTTTTTTGGATTAAAATCATCAAGAAAACGATTTAATGCATTTGTAATATTTTGATCTGCTATTGCTTGTTCAATATAAACAAATGGTATATGATGAGCAATAGCCGCTAATGAATACAAACAACAAGAAAAAAAAAGAATTTTTCATTAAAATCATATGAATTTATTTTTTTTTTACCAAGTGTTGGTTGAATTTTATTATGTTCAATATCTTTCATAATATTTAAAAATCTTTGTTTAATATCATTATGATTATTTAAATTTAATTTATTTTGTAAATAATCAAAATTTCCTTTCCAATCTTGTAATATAATTATTTTTGATAAACGATGTATATGACATATTGTTTCAATATCATGACAATTTATACTCATATCATATACAGCTGCAGCACGATTTTGATATCGTTGATAAGATATTGGAATATGTGATGATGAAGAAAGTATTGGCAATTTACGAATATTAGATTTAATTGACATATCTAGAAATATGTTATAATTGTTATTATTTTATATTTATTTTTTACGTTCTCAATTCATTTATAGCTGACTGTAATAGAAAAGATTTTATCATTCATGTCCGTAATAAATGTAAAAATTTATTTTTTTTTTATATGTTGTGCAGTGAATTTAGAATGATTGGGTATACAATGATATGAAAAAAAAAATTATTAATATGTAAGAATAAGAAAAGAAAAGTTGTGATATAAAAATAAATATGAGTAATTAGGAAAAAATATATGTATATACTACCTAGTTTGATATAAAAAAATAAGAGATAAAAAGGAAGTAACACTGCACCTAGCTAATGGCCTATCTGTACATTTTGTTTTTCGTATGTATGTCATATACACGCCTCCGTTTTCTTTTCACATTAGCTATAATGTATGTTAATCATAATTCGTTATGTGAAACTGTTTTTTCTTTTTCCTCTGTTGAATATAGTAGTGACATATATCGTTTGATTTAATAAAAAACAGAAAATAGACGTGGTCACATATATATATATATTGAGAGCAGTGAATGATAGAATAAACATTTGTATATTTGAGTCTTGACATAGTACAAATGTTACAACGAGAATTCTTTACAAATCTAACAGCAAGACTACGAACTTGTGAAAATGATTATAAAGCATGTTATTATTTGAAAAAATTTGGAGTTCGACTTGTTCAACGAAAGGATATTACACAATTACAAGCTGAAGCTGAAGGTACTAATGAATTGAAACGTACGTTAAGTTCATTTCAATTATTGGCATTAGGTATTGGTAGTATTATCGGTAAGTGAAATGAATACATAAATATGTGTTTTTTCGATAAAAAAAAACAAGAACATTTTCATAGGTACGGGTATATTTGTATTGAGTGGCGAAGCAGCTGCTAAATTTGCTGGTCCTGCTATTATTGTTTCATTTATTGTTGCTGCAATTGTTGCTGGACTTGCTGCTTTTTCATATTCTGAAATGGCTTCAATGGTACCCATATCTGGTTCCGCTTATTCATATACATATGCAAGTATGTTAGAATATTGATTAATTTTCTTTTTAATTTCATACTTTTTTTGTTTATATTTAGCTATGGGTGGTAAGTTGCTGTTTTATTTTTGATATTTGAGAAAAATAAGTAATCATTTAATTTTCTTCTTATTTATAGAATATTTAGCATGGATTATTGGATGGGATTTAATTCTTGAATATTTATTAGCAGCTGCTACAGTAGCTGTAGGTTGGAGTGGTTATGTTGTTCATTTTATTGAACTTATATCGAAACATAATGCAACAAAATCGATTGTTCAAGCACCAGTTGCTTGGAGTGAAGAATCAAATTCTTTTTATGTTACAGGAAAAATAATAAATTTACCGGCAGTAATAATTATTGTTGCACTCACAATATTACTCATTATTGGAATCGGTGAATCAGCAAAAGTTAATCTTGTAATTGTTGTAATTAAAATTCTCGTTGTTTTATTATTTATTTTTGCATGTTGTGGTTATATTCGTCGTAGTAATTATTCACCTTTCTTTCCACCCAATGAAGGTAAAATCAATCAAGAAGAAAAACACATATGTTTGTTTTGTTTTTAATACGATATCGATTTGTTTAGGTAGTTTTAATAAATATGGAGTAACGGGCATGTTACATGGTGCAACCGTTGTATTTTTTGCTTATATTGGTTTCGATTCGGTTACAACAACAGCACAAGAATCGAAAAATCCACAACGTTCATTACCTATTGGAATTATTGGTTCATTATCGATTTCTACTGCACTTTATATAGGCGTATGTGCTGTCATGGTTGGTATTGTACCATATAGAACACTTGACTCACCAAGTCCAATTTCAGAAGCAATGTAAATATTAGATCATTTTTTATAATTATGTACATAAATACATATATGACAATAACTATATTTTAGTAAAGGTACACCACATGGAATATGGCTGCCAATTATTATTGATTTAGGAGCTATTGCAGGTTTAACAAGTGTATCTCTTGTTAGTCTTCTTGGACAATCACGTATATTTTATTCTATGGCTCATGATGGTCTGTTACCATCAATATTTGCTAAAGTTCATCCTCGTACTAGAACTCCTTGGATATCTACAATTATTATAGGTATAAAAATTCTCAGTTGTTTTTATGAAAAAAAAATTTTTGATTTTACTATTTGTTTAGGTGTAATCTGTGCAACATTTGCTGCTGTTTTGCCTCTAGGCATTCTAGGTGAAATGACATCGATCGGAACTTTAGTAGCGTTTTTTCTTGTACATATTTCTGTCATTATTGTAAGTTTATTGTAATAATTCAATTGATTATCTTTCATATATTACAATTTAGATGCGTTTTACACATAAAGATGTACCACGTGGTTTTCGAGTTCCTTTAGGACCTTGGGTTTTTCCACCTATTGGAGCACTGCTCTGTCTTTTGCTTATGATAACCTCTTCAAAAGAAACTGGTATTCGACTTGCTGTTTGGATGGGTATCGGTCAAATTATATATTTTACCTATGGTTATTGGCATTCAAAACTACGGTATTCACAACGGCATGAGTCTGTTATGGGTATTGATAATCTTGCAACAGAATTAGATACTAAACCAACAACAAATGAATATGTATCAGAAATGGTTGTTTTGGATGAAAAAGAAATTTAACATTAGATTTATCTTGTCATATAATAATCAATCCATAATTGTTTTTAGTTTTCACAATAAAATTATTTCTAAATTTTATTTGAAATTTGTAAAAGTAAATATAAGAGAAAAAAAATTATATACATTATATATATATATATAATATTATTTGAATCAATAGTCTTTGATAATAAACAATACGTTAAACGAATTTATATAAGATTAAAAAGAATTAGCAATTTTCAATGGAAGTAAAATTCTATCATTAATGAATTTAATTGACATCTTTTATCAAAGAATAATAAATATTTTCAATTTCAAATTCTTTTAATATGTTTTTCATCATGGCCAAAAGAATTTTTTCTTTTCACATAAACAACTATATGATTCAGAATAGAATGATTTTATTGATTCACCTATTGATTACTTATTATTCAGCTATTATTTTTTTGTTTCTTTTATTAATCATTACTTTATTGAATAGTGGAGAAAATAATGTGACTGCAATTTCTTGTTTTTTTCTTTTAAAATATTTTCATGCATAGTGTCACAAGAAGACGAAAAAATGAAAAGAAAAAAGGAATCATGACAACATTATTTCATAAGTTTGGGTGTGAATAAAGAGGATACATTCACCCGTGCACAATTACATGTACACCCACATTTTAATTATATGCTATTATTGAATAATTTCTATTGATTTTTTATAGGCATAAAATCGAAGTCAGCGTGCAATCATATGTGCTTATCTTTTGCTATACTGGAATATTATCAGTAAATGTATATGATACATTTACTGATAATTCTACCATGATTTTGATTTTATTATGATAAAATACTCTACTGAAATTTTCAAATGATTGATTCCAATGTATTTAAATAAGGATAAAAACAAGTAAACATAGACGAATTAGACTCGAATAAATATTCGATACATAAGAAGAATCAAAAATTTCTTCATATAATTTTAGATACGGATAAATGAATATATTATTATTTCTAATTGTATTTATTTTTATTATCTATTTCAAGAGTAGACAGTCATTTTTGCATATACGTTTCTTAATTAATGTTTAAAGGAAGAAATATATTGAATTTGATTTATGAATAACGATCGTTTCTATCAGTTTAAGCATTCGAAAACGTAATTACAAAGAAAATAATAATGATTCACTAATACCGACTGAACTGACTTTAATATTAGAATATATTGTGTCATACATCAAGATAAATGATCTTGAGTTTATTGCTTTTTTGTCAAATATAATTATAATGCTATTTTTGTTTACAATCAAGTGTGTCAAATGAATCATTGCAAAATATGACGTTGACATATGGTAACTGATTACTACTTTGTTTTCATCAAAATATATTCAATAGCATTTTGAAAATGATTCAGAAAAGTTTTCAAATTATGACTTCATATATATTCTACAGTGTAAAATCGAAGATATTTGTTTTCTAGAAAATGATATATTCAAGAGTACATCAATTCAAGTTTCTCGCTAAAAAAATCGCATACTATTTCGTAATTTGACTATTTTCTATTACATTGAAATTCGATTCAGATATACATTTTTAGACTTGATTTTATTTTACTACATCTGTGCTTCATAAAACAAAAACAGAAAAAAAAAGTTACGAGAAAGTAAAAATAAATAGAAATCTTTTAAAATCTATTAACAATAAAAACAACTACATAACATAGCAAAGACAACAAAGATTGTGAAGGACATAAACAAAGTCATTTTTTAAAATAGTATAATTTATATACATATTTTTATAAAAAACTATCAAAAACTTGAGAATCATGTCTAAACTGAATACAAAATATTCAATAAAATTTAAACAAAAAAAAATACAATAATTATATCTCTCGTACAAAGGAAATTGCAAACGAAGCTAACTGAATACATATTGTAGCCATAAATATATTATAACAATTACTATATCATGAACAATAATAATATTTATATATAGCTTAACAATGATTTTTCAATCAATCATAAGTCGAATAATATTTTCTATGAAATGTATTTTACTTTTGAAGTTTATGTATCATCACTATTGAATTTTCAAATATTACTTCTAATTTACTGTGTATTCATAAAAATCAAATGACACAAAAAAAATTCTTACCAATTTCAGAATACTAAATAAATTAAATATTTCTTCCATTCTATTATTGAAAATTTTTTATCTTTTTTTTTTGGTTTTTTTATTCGAAATATAATATTCAGTTCATCTTATTATTAATCAACAAAAGAACAATGAACGATATTTCACAATGAAAACAAAAAAAAAAAAAAATAAAATAAAACAAACAGCTAAAACTATACTAAATATTTTAGAATTAATATTACTAGACAATAAAATATATACATAATATAGAAAAATAAGATGATAAATCTATATTTTAATGAATGGATATCATTCGAATGATATATAATTTAAAAGTTATTTGTAAAAATTTCTTTTTTTTTTGTCTTCTTTGTAGCACCCCATCTCATTTTGTTTTTTTTTGAAAATAAAATAAATATGAATCAAAAATAAAATATACTGAAAAGGAAAATTTAGAGATTAAAAAAAAAGAGAACCCGACAAGGAGCACACTGTATTTTTTTGTTTTTAGACTTAAATTATATTGTAATGAATATTTCTATTAGAATAATATATTGCTTTGGAATAAGATATCACCGGTAAAAAAGAAACCAGTGACAAGTTTTTTTTTTTTGTTTTTCAAAGATGTTTGTGTTGTGTAAGATTTGATATTTGTATACGTTTATTAATATTTATATTTGTTGATTGAAAATCATTTAAATTTTGATTATTTTCCGATAAATTATTTGATGTTTTATCAGAACTTAATGATTGTTGACGTTTTAAAGGTGATGAAATTAATTTTTGATTAGAAATAATTTTATTTGAGATACTATCAAGATTAGAATATTGATCATTAGTCATTTCAAGACTATTACTCTACAAAAAAAATCGAACAAAATTTTTGTTTTTTTTTTTTTCGTTTAATATAATAAAAATGATTACTTGTATAAATCGATTTGATTTTGATTGTATTTGATCGATATAATTAATATTTGTTGAAAATTGACTATTATCTATTGATATTAAATTATCAATATTAGAATTTTTTTGTAAATTTTGATTTAATAAAATTGTTTTATTTAAAGAATTTAATGGTATTTGAAGTAATTTACGTTTTGTTTGTTTATCATTTAAGTTTTTATTTATATTAGTAGATTTATTAGATGAAATAATATCTTGATGATATGAATTTGTTGTTGATACTGAACTATCCGTTAAATCTAATAAACAAAACAAAGAATGTTTTTTTTTGTGTGTTGTTGGAAAAAAAAAACTTTTTTTGTTTTAATTACCAGAACAATGATTGATAATATTTGAAGTATTATTTTCATCTAAATTTGTTAATGGTTCAATATTTTGTAAATTTTCATTTTCATTATTGATTAATTTTTGAGTTTTTTCAAAATAATATTCATTCATACATGTATCAATATAATTTTTAATCATATTATCAGATGTTTGTGGTCGTTTTGGTTGAAAATTAGTTAATATTATTGTTAAAATATTTGTATGATGATTTAATAATGATGATAATTTTTGATTTTGATTAATAATTGATAAATTTGTTGTATTTTGTATTGAATTATAAGGTGAATTTTTATGTGATATACGTTTTGTTGATGAAAATGGTTCAATAAATGTTCGACGAAATATTTTTGAAAATGAATTTAATGATGGACGAGAAAATTTTTTATGATTTATTATTGTTGAATTAAATTGATTTGATAAATTAATATCTGTTGTTAATATATGATTATCATGTTTAGGTTTTATTATATAAGAAAATAAATTATTTAATGAAATATATTCTTTTGATAAATTTAAATATTTTTCTAAAATATCCATTCGATTTTCTTTATAATTTGTATAGAAATTTATTTTATCATCAGATAATTCTTCATCAATTGGCCATTGAAAATTTAAACCAGGATCAATAAAAAAATGAATTGGTAATATATCCAATGTTTCAATATCAATTAATGGTATTCGATAAGTAGTACCTAGACAAAAAAAAAGGATCAACGAAAGATAAAAAAGAAATTCATTAGAAAATGATATTTATATTTTTAAATATAATTACTTTTTGATGTTGATTTACTATTTTGTTCCATAGGTAGAAGAGCTGAAAAATGTGCAGCATCATATGCCAAAAATATCTTAATTAAATTAAGATAACAAAAAAAAAAATATTATTTAAAATAAAAAAGAATTAAATTAACTAACCGGTTGTTTATGACATTTATCAGGAGGAATTTCTATTAATGAAAATATTGTTGTTTTTTATGTTTGAATAAAAATTTTTTTCTATAGTTTACCTAATGGTAAATAAATTCCACCGAATTCAATTGGTGAAATAGCTTCACCATCATTTGTACGTAATATTGTATCGGAATAGATAACAATTGGTCGACGAATATTATTTGCAAGAACATAAACATGAAATTCTTCTAAACTTTCATAATATTGTCGAGTTGATTGTGATGAAGATTTTGTTGAAAGATCACTATTTGTTTGAGATGATTTTGAATAATTGATTCTAAATAAGACATGAAATAATATGAATAGATTTTCGTTTTTTTTTTTGTTGAATATTACTCATCAATCGAAGAATTTGTTTGTGAAATTCGTGGTTCAGCTGATGATAATCGTAATAAGCTTCTCCATTCTTCATTCCATTCTTGTTCAGAAAAAACAAGACCATACTACAAATATGAAATTATTCACTTTGTCTAATATAATATCAATTGTTTTGTTACTTTTTTATTTTGTACTGATTGAGTCCAACGCCAACGTCGATAAAGTGAATTATTTGGTTTTGATGTAATTAATGTTTCATTTAATGCTTTACGCATTGATAATGAATGATCATGAAAACCCCACATTGCTAAATAATAAATTATTAATTATCAAACATTTTATATCAACTAACAGATTTTGTTCATGCAAAAAATCATAAGCCTCATATTTTTTCTAAAAGAACTTTGTCAATGTATTTTAATTCCTATTATGGGAAATAGTTTTTTTTTTTTTACTAAATTCAACTATGAAATGTCATATTCATACAGAACTCCATGGAACATTACTGAATATCGCCTTGGCATACGATTTTTCTTTTCAAGTCTTAAATAAGGTTTTTTCTTTTTTGAATAAAACTTTTTTTTGTTTCTTACCAAGTGATGTTGCATGTAATAAACAATTTCCATCTCCGCTTGTTACTAAAGGATATAATTTCGTACATGGTAATTTTTTATTAACCCACCAATTAAGACGTTCTATAAAAAAAAAGATATAATTAAATAAAAACTTTCTAATTCAATACTTGTTTCTTCCAATGATACCATTGTTGGTATATCAACAAGATTATCCATAACACGAATACGAATATCTTCAGGTAATTCATATAAATTTGGTAATATGAATGAAGTATCAGCATCATTATGATCAATTGTAATAATATCATCATTAATTGATTTGCGACGATAATTTTTTGGTAAAACATCTCGTTGTTGATGTACATATGTTTGATTTGATGATGGAGTTTGATGTAATATTGGATAATTTACATCTAAAACGAATATTATTATGTATAAAAAAAAATCTATTGTCTTTTTTTTTTTGTAAAAACTTCTTACTTGTTCGTTGAAGTTGAACAGATGCTGATGAATTGTATAGATGATGTTTCCTATCAATAGAATCTTCATTAAAAATATCTTCATTGATATTCCCATCATGATATGAGATATAATTATTCATGTTTTATTTATTATCTGACATATTTCAGAAGATATTTTAATTATATCGAATTCTTATCGTTGAATGAAATATTATTCATTAATCTGATATTATATTCAGTATATATATATATAAATATTTCTTTCTTAGATAATAAAGATATATTTACAAACATGTTTTTTTATTCTAATATTAGGATAAATTATTTTGTTTATTTATTTTATGAAATTATTTTATTTAATATGAGAATAGAATAATAATAAATAAAAATTTGAATAATGATCAGTACTTATTGAGAGATTAAGTTTTAGATTTTATTTTAATTGAAAAATTAATATCAATAAAACAGATGTCACTTTTAGTTAATCATATGTTTTTGTGTTTTGTTAATATTTATTGGTTCTTATTTTTGTCATCGATTGATAGGGTGTTTCTAAAGTCTAAATGTATGAATGAATGATGCTTATTTTTTTGACATAAACCATCCCAAGTAAATGAATTATTTGAGGAAATAAATACTAAATGATAATATTCTTGATAGATAAAATAATAATAAACTTAAATTATATTTAAGACTTGAAAAAAAATTTAAAACAAGAAACAATGATCTATACATCTGAATTATGTGAAAAAGTTATATCTGCTGTTCTTTGTTCATTTAATTCAAAAACAACAGATGATGAAAAACAAAATGCATTAAAATTTCTTGATGATTTAAAAGAAAATCAACCAATTTTATGTTCAACAATATCATTTGAATTATTAAAACAAACAAATAATCAACCAATACTTCATCATTTTAGTTTAAATCTTCTTGAATCAATTATAAAACATAAATGGAATATATTAAAAGTTGATGAAAGAAATTTAATTAAAAAACAATTATTTTTTATTATTAAAAGTACTTATTTAAATCAAATATTTATGAATTCAATACATATAAGAAATTCTTTAGCAAAATGTTTAGTTGAATTAATTAAACGAGATTGTTTTGAAAAAGTTAATACTACTCTAGATGAAATGATTAATATGATACAAGAAATTACTCAAATTCAAGGTTTGTTTTTTTTTTAGTTTTCGATTACAACAACAATATAACAAAGAATTTATATATATATATCAGCATGAATATCTATAATGAAAAATAAATCACAAAACAATACAAAATATATCATAGTAAAGACTGTTCAATTGAAGATCAAACGAGTTTACTGATACTTATTTTTGAACCTACTTCTTGATAATGCATTAGTCGACAAATGTGTTTATTCCATGAAATCTTAGGTATTTTAAATGTGAAAAGTTTTCTGTATATTCTCCAGTAAGAATATACTTCAACGGTATAATTGTATTCTGATTGCTTTAATGTAACAGCAATTACAATGAACAACATCTATTTTTGCTTCAAGCTTTTGTAAGCTGAAAACTACTGTCTATAGAACTTCACGTAGCTTTTAATCGAATATATATGACTAATTCTTCATGTTTTAACAAAAGACGAGATTATTCGATGGAAGTTGATAATTGAGAGATTCTTTGAGTCCTTGGCATCAACACGATGATCACTAGCATGTTATTTTTTTTTCTTCTTTAAAAGTTTTCTCAAATTTCTAAACAGTAATGTTAAATCATATGCAAAGTTTCTCTTAACAAATAAGCTCAATTCATTGAACTCTTAGGCAGTTATGGTTTCCAAAGAGCTTTCTTTCTACATCAATATCAACAGTTCTATAAAGAATTAATAAATTTCAATCAAATTTATAACTAAGATTGTTGAAATACAGTACCGTACAAGGAAAAGTTGATTAATCATCAAAGCTCTTTCATTTTCAAATCTGTCAAATTCACAGGATAAAATGTGCTTATCCATCGTATTTCTTCTATTTCTTACACAATCAAGATATAATTTTGTAGTTCACCTAAATTCTTCATATATAGTATATTTCACTTGAGTTACACAAAACTCATGATCGAAAAGATTGCATTCTCACCAGCATCCTTTCTCTATGCTATGTTAGAGTGAATATTGAACTTTGTAATTCAATTTTGAGAAAGAAAAAGAGTTCTAAAAGTGACATATCATAGACAATTGCATTTTGATCAAATTGTTAATGAACATATTTTAATTATAGACAATAATTCAACTCAACTCGAACTTATTTTACTTGTTTATCGTTTTCTAAATGAAGAATTAACAATTTATGCTCAATCAATTCAAGCACAACGTCGTCGACAAATTCTAAATCAAATACAAAAACGTTTAAATGATATTTTATTATGTTTAATACGTATATCAAATGATCTTTTAAATATTCCTGAACAATATGAACGTTTAACACAAACATGTCTTTTATGTATGAATAGTTTTCTTACATGGGTTGAATATAATCATTTTGAACAATATGAATTATTTCTTTGTGAATTATTTTTAAAATTTTTTCAATTAAATTCTGTTAAATTACGTCATGCTTCATTTGAATGTTTACTTAGTCTTGTTAATAAACGTTTAGCACGAAGACAATTACAACAGCAACAACAACAAAGAAATAAACGTATTGCTTCATCACCATCATCTGCATTAAATTGTCAACAAGAAAAACTTTTTCTTAATTATTTTCTTGGAGATAATACATTAGAAATGTTCTATCGACTTTTAATTAGTCCAACAGTAAGTGTTCTTTTTTAAGTACGAAGTTGTCATCCAATAAAAGTTATGTTCATATTCCTGTATATTTTATTGATGGGATAGATAATCATGATAATGATAATTTCACGTCTTCTATAATGTTTTTCTTTTGAAAAATACTGATATGCATCTATGATGTGTCTTGGTTGCAGTTCTCACGAGGAAAGGTCCCCAACTGACGGACGCCGTTCGACTCCATATCATGGCTACAAGGTAGGTCTCTATGAGACTAAGAAAATCCTAAAAGGATTCGTGCCCATGACCTATCGGTGACATAGTTATGACCGTTTTACTGAATTTTGGGCATGCAACAAGGGACATCCAAAAAAATCGAATTAAAGAATTTCGACCTGAAAATTTGCCAATAGATAGGTCTAATAGTCATTAGAATTACTTGAAAGTTTCAGCCAAAACGAATGTTCTTTTCTCGAGATATTGAATGGTTAAGTAAGCTTGGTTTTTGTGATCTGTCTGTGAAAACGGACTATTTTTTGACCATTTAATATCTCGAGAAAGGAACATTTGCTTTAGCTGAAACTTTCAAGCAGTTCTAATGACTATTAGACCTATCTATGGGCAAATTTTCAGGTCGAAATTCTTTAGTTTGATTTTTTTAGATATCCCTTGTTGCATGCCCAAAATTCAGTAAAACGGTCATAACTCTTCACCGATAGGCCATGGGCACGAATCCTTTTAGGATTTTCTTAGTCTCATAGAGACCTACCTTGTAGCCATAATATGGAGTCGAACGGCGTCCGTCATTTGGGGACTTTCCCTCGTCAGACAACTTTTCTTCTAAATCAAAGATAAATCTTTATTAGCACTCGAATACTAAACAGACAGATACTCAAGTTTTTTTCGTCGTGTACAGCATTAGATTGTTTTTCGAATTTCATAAAGAGAAAAATAAAAGTGATTTCTATTAGAGACTATAATTAGATTGTCTTTTGTATGTACGATTCTCTGAGTTGTTGTCCTCAATACAATAAACATTAATTGACTTTATTCTCTTCTCTTCTAATGATGGTTAGCTATTAACCTAGTCGATATAAAGCATACATCAATGTTCATTAAATTGTTGTACTAGAATGAATTTATTATCTTTGAATCACAAGTGAAATAAGATTTTAGATACCAATTGATTTGTTTTGTTTCTCATATGGAAATATTTATTTTTTTTTATCGTATGTGAATTTTAGGATTCAATTGAACAATTACGTTCCATAGTAACAAATGATCATATAAATTGTTTAAAAATGCTTGGTCAATTACTTGTTAAATTATCAAATTATTTATTACAATTATTTCAACAATTAGCAACAAAATCTATTGATGATAATGATTTTTTAACATTTGTTAATGAACGTACTAATTCATTTTTACAATTTCTTCTTTTACTTAATCAACATCCATTTCATTTATTATCATTAAATTCTTATCAAGCATTAAATTTATTTATTATTCGACAAATAACATTATTATCGAATGAACAATTTTGTTTAAAATTAATTTTTAATTTAAAACAATCATTACATCGTATTCATTTTCCATCATCATCATCATCATCATCATCATCATCATCGATGACAACAACACTTATTGATAATGAAAATGAAATATTAAAAACACAATATATGCATAATCAACAATGTTTTATTTATGCATTATTTGAATATGATAGTGAAGAACAATTCTTTTGGAAATTTTTTTCACAATATAGAAGTGAATTGCAAAAATTAATCAAATCATTTATTGGTTTGTTCTTTACTGAAACTGTTGCAAGTAAGTTATATGAGTTAGACTAACGTAATCGACTATAAATAAGTTGCTATTCGTACAGAATAATAGTGTTTTTTTAAGATCGTATCATTAGTATCTGAATATTGAATATTTGCATGAAGGATTTTAGACTTTCGATTTCATTTTCCTTTATTAATCTCCATAAAAAAGTCCATATTTCTATAAATAGTCAGCACATTGCACAATGCTAAGCTTCCAACTATTCATAGAAATCTGGATTTTTTTTTGAAGACTAACACGACAAACTCGGACTCAAGTCAATAGTTCCTTAGGTTGAAATTCTGATTCGCTATATAAAAGTAAAATTAAGAAATTTTATTTACCTTTCTAAATATCACAATGATGAATCTCGGAAGTAGTTATATTTGAAAAAGAACTCTTCTAATCTGTATTTATGTCATCGTCTAAGAAAACTAAAATCTCATAAATTCATAAATATTATTCTCGTGCTTTCTCCAAAACCCACAATATCTTTATTAATCGGGTAATAAAGTATATTGATAAAGAATATGCTTGAAAATTAACTGTTAATAGA